TTCCTTCCTAAGTTCTGCCTGCTCGCCCCCATGATGCTGCCACCACCGTGCTTCAACGTAGCGACAGTATCAGCAGGTGATGGGCAGCACCTGCATTTATGCTGTATTTTATTTATTTTATAATATTTAAGAAATGTCTTCTAACTGTAAAAGAATTTAGTTCTCTGGATACTCTGAGGAAACATAATTTTTCGCTGTTTACTAAGCATATTTACCTTTTAAAAAGTGCAGACCATGCTTCAGGTCTCTGTATTCCCTGAAAACATTGGCAGCAACATAAACATAACGAATATACGAATTAGTGTAATAGTCAAACATTTGTGGGGGGTAGAAATGTGGAAATAGGGGAAAATTAAGCTACAAGTCAGATATGTTCTTTGTACCACCTGTTTCATCACAATGCAATAAACATTGTATGTTGGTGGATTCTTTTCGAACGCAGCTTTTTGTTTCTTGGTTATGTCTTTAGATGCACATAGTAATGCTATTGTTCCCGTCATTCTCTGTAATCTCTTTATCTTATGTTCCACTCTGTAGTTAGACTTTAACAGAGAGATGGTTTTTCATAATCCTACTACTTTATGAACCTCATTTTATGGCCGTGCAGCTGTAAAGCACGGCCATGGTAAACCCTCCTGTTCATTTGGGATCAATAAAGTTCAACCTAATGAACTGGAGGGTAGAGCAGTAATGAAAGATGAGATCCATCTGCAGCCCTGAACCTACCAGTTACTGCAGATGGCTACTGTCTAAAATTAACGTCCTGCCCTTCCTCTCAGCTGAAATAATTTAACAAACCCGTAAGAAGAGGCCTTTGTTTCTGAAGTTGCGACAGAAAGCATGAGCACTTCGGCAATGTCAGCCTGCTCGTACCTACATCGACTCCAAAAATATAATTAGAGCAGATCTGCAACACAACTTCCCTCATGTGTTGTTCATAGAGTTCAGAGTACCTGAAATAGAAGCTTCGTCAGACATCATAGCTGCCTACTAACAAAAAAAACAAACAACAAAAAAAAATATGTATTTCAACTAAGAAACTATGAAAAATGGCCTAAAGTTTACAAGCTAGATGGCAAACTGTTAAACTATTGCTATTGCTACCACACTTGCTGTGTAGTTAGCTTATTTCTGTGACTTTAGCNATTTCAGTTGAACTGCAGGCAGTGTTTCCACAGAGCAGACAGGAGGAGGCACGTATGGAACCAAATTAAAAACACTTCAGATAAGACAGAATTCTAATAACCCTGAAGAAAATTTGTGTGCCAGATATTGCCCAGAACACAAAATGACATAACATGAAAGTAAACGTTGTGAGTAACGGAAAACCAATAAGATGCAAGTGCCAAAAAAAAAAGAAAAAAAGAAAGTAATGATTCCGAGGTAGTGAAGCAGTAATTCAAACGATAAACATCTATAGCATGTGGAGTCAACATATTTTCCCAGTATTAGCAACACCTGGCACTTGGAAAAATGTTGCACGTTTGTTTTTTTTCAATTTTTGCATCACACTGCGTAGTAGACATTTCTGAGTTCTTTCTACTTCTAGCCGTGGCTGTGCAGTTTCCATAAAGGTGCAGGACTTTATATTGCGAGGAAAAATGTATGAGTCAAACCACTGCTGACTGTAGGATAGGATAAAATAAAATGAAACTTCACTAATCCTGAAGGAAGTTCTTGTGCCGGATATTGCTCAGAAAAAACAAACAAAAAAAAGGTACAAAAACAAGAAGTTAAGAGTATGACCCACTGCTGAAATACAATAAGAAAGATGAAAGAAGGCTGTAATTGAACAGTAATGCTGCCAAACTAGGAAGGATTTAAACCCTGAATACTATCAGACATGTATTCATAGCCTCCCATTAAAGAAGGAAAAAAAAATCCATCACTGAAACAAGTTGAAATCGACAAAAGTAATAACAAATAAAAATTTTATGAAAATCATGACATTGCTTTTGAATTGTGGTTCAACAGAAATATTTTTAAAAACCAAAAAACAAAAGAAACAAGCAAACAAGCATGATAGGACCCGTAAACTAATACTTAGTTGAACAACCCTTTGAGCCAATCACTGCAATCAAGTGTTTTCTGTAACTCTCAGTCAGACTTCNCGATAAAACCGTAGTCGCAGACGATGAACGCCAGCAGGTAGGTGGACATTTTCTCAGTTGGGTCAAACACTGTCTGCTGCACCTTAACGCCGTCAACGGTGATTTCGGTTGATGCTGTGGAAGAGAAATTAAAATTAATGGAAAAACACATTTACCTGACAGCGTTCACAGTTTAATTCCTTATACTTATAGTTCAACTTTAAATGTTCCCCCTACATGTGTAAATAAAAATGAAGTTCTAGTGCTAACATATAGATTCCACTGATTTTGTCTTAAAACCACCACTGCGCTCAAACTCACATTTTTGTTGGCCGTTGGACAGGGCGATCGTCCCCAGGTCGTGGGTCAGACTGATGTGGAAAACAGCCTTCATCGCCGGCTCGTCGAAGCAGGGGAAAGCCTTCCTGGCGTCTGTCGGCTGCATCTGAGTGGTCGCAACAACCCTGAAAGGAAACAGAGAAATTAAGCTCAAAGAATGACATTTTTAACAAAAACCAAGAGCTGCATGGTAGAATTTATATCAAACTGAAAAACAGAAGTAGGCCGAGGATGTCTTTAGACTAGCTTAGCACAAAGACTAAAAGTGAAACAGCTAGCTTAGCTTCGTAAGAACGCTCGAGAACTGTCTCACTATCAGAGAAATACCTGCAAACTATAAAGCAGAGTGGCAGCAAAAAACAGCCACCAGTGCACATGAACAACAAAGTTAAAGAGAGATTTCTATCTAACTAGTCGGCAACAGCAGATATGTTTTGAAGGGAAAGTATTTAAGTGGCTCCAGAAGCAAAGAGCCAATTAATTTTCCCCATACAAAATGTTATGATGGTCTTCATGAAACTGGTTCAACATCAGTACACCGTTCTTATAAAAGTATGCCGTTCTTATAAAAAAAAGTCAAACGTGCAGGACTGTGCACATTAAAGAGTCAATATTCTCCTTGTTTACAGGCTTGTAATTGTATATTTGAGGTCTACTAGAGTATGTTTACCTGCCTTAATGTTTTCTCACACTGTGCATTGCTATTACCTACATGAAGCATTGTTAATTTTTTGGTGTGTTTTTGCAGTTCTGGGTCTTCTTGTAGTGACTTTGAGTCTGTTTGTCGTCATTTCTTGTGTTTTTGTAGTCATTTTTTTCTCTGTGTAGCCATTTTGTGTCATTTATCAGTTATTGTTGGCCACTGTAGTCTTTTTCTGTCTCATTGTGGTTGTTTTGTCTCTTTTTGGTCGCTTTGCATTTGCAGGATTTCTCTAGACTGGGAATACAAAATGAAAAAAAAACACTTGGGGTTTCTCCCAGTCCAAAACTTTTTACGCCCTCTATCCACCCCAACCTCCTCCTACTGCTTATAAAGGTGGCACTTCATCGCAGAGTTGCAACCATTGCCCAATCAATAATCAGAAACTATTTTGTGATTCAAATTATAATTTTGATGGCTGCAACTTCTCAGAAAGAAAGATTTAATGTTGGGTTTATTTTGTTTTGTACCTGAAGACATCAGCTTGGGATTTTTTATAATTTTCTTGCATTGATTATTAAAAAGAAATATTATGCAGATAATTTAATAAGGAAAACAGCCATGTAATATGTGCAGAAGCTACATTTCTAGGAGCTAATGACTAACATTTCTTATTGCTTATCGGTTGGGTTTCAGGTGTTTTATCTGACACATAACACACATACTTCTTCACTCCGTTCTCCATGTACTCGCTCCTGTAGAAGCCTCCCAGGTCGTCGGCCAGCTCTCCTTNAAGACAGACTCAGGAATTTCTATGAACCATAAAAATCTGAATCCTAACAACAATTAATTCATGTTTTTATTATGTGTATTTATTATGTCTATGAGAAGAAGAAGCTCACCTGCATGGGCCCGTAGACCTCACTGCGGTCGAACATCAGGTAGAAGAAGTCCAGGTTGTCGATGGCTGACTGCCATGGCATGTAGTCTGTCTCCTGGTTCAGGTACAAGGTGGTTCTCAGGGCCAGCTCCGTCGAGATGATCTTTGCTCTTTGGGGTACAAGACAGTGAAATTTAATGGGATATCCTTCATTTCTTATTCCGGCCAGATTAAGTGTAACACTTTTTATGACACCTTTTTGATGAGAAACAAAAAATAAACCCTATAAATATTCATTAAAGCTATTATTTATGTTTTCATTGACATTTTTATTACATGAGTTATAACTCATAGTAATATAACTAATCAATATGCCTGACCTGCACCCAAGTATTGATTAATAAACTGGCCTACTGTTTGAAAGTCATACAGCTGAGTTCATTTCAGCCTGTTCTATTCCTCTTTAATTTGTCTATCGCAGGAATTTGTGTTCTTTTTTTTGTTTGTTTGTTTTCTTCATATTTTGAGAGAAATCTACACCTAAGCACTGCCCCTTCCCCGTGTATTCTGGTAAAATTGGTCGTTATTTTAGAGACTTTTCCTACATTGCTAAAATACAGGAAATAACTTGTAAAAATCAGAGAAACAAAAATATTATTTTACATGTTAACCTTGAAAACAAACACGCCAAAACTGTAGGCAATGTTTAAACCAAAATCAGTGTTTATCTTTTTTTTTAATTATTTAAAAAACTATATCAAGATTTTTTTTTTTAAGGGTAAAGAAAGGTTTAAGTTATTTTACACATGTACCTATTTTGTTAAAATACAGATAGCTTGTAAATCACTAAAAGTATCAGTTTACATGTTGATTGTAAAACAAACAGAAAAAGACAAAACTGTAAATAATGTCTCTAATGTTCTTTTGTCAA